TCCTTCTTTGTTTAACCTTTTTACAATAATAGTACATTCTAAATGTGGACCTTTGTGATTATGGGGTGGGAAGTCAGTGGTGAAGTATGCTATAATTCTTTTTTTTTTTTTTTGTAACTAATTTTTAGGCAGAAAGGTTTGGTATATTGATGTGAATGCCAAGAAGTAAACACTTTGTAACAAGGAGTGACTACTTAGAGCTTAGTGATGAAAAGTCTATAGTTCTTGAAGTTTTCGTTTAAGAGAGTCTGATCTTAATGCACTGTAACTTAAAAGATTTGTCATCCACTCTTCCTGTGTTCTCTGTTATTGAAATTTACACAGTCTTTTCAGTCAGTAAAATAATGTCTGGTCCTAGTTGTTTAGACTTTCAGTGACCCTAGTTGTTTAGACTTTCAGTTCAAGAATAGAACTTCCCACTAGGGTTTTCCAGGCTGTAGCGTAGTGGTTACGAATCGGGCTGCGAACCTTAAGGTCAGCGGTTCGAAACTACCAGCCGCTCCGCGGGAGAAAGATGAGGCTTTCTACTCCGGTAAAGATTTACACCCTCGGAAACCCTGTACAGGGTCGCTATGGGTCGGACCCGACTCGATGGCACTTAACAACAACAACAACAACAGCTACAGGAGCCAGTTGCCATGTTTTCTCCCCTGTGGAGCAGATGGGTGGGTTCAAAGTGCTAACCTTTGTGCTTAACCATTGATTGCAGCACCAGGGTGTCTTATGTTCCTGGTTGTTGTTGGTAAGTGCCTTTGAGTCGGTTCTAACTCTTAGTGACCCTGTATAGTTTTCCAAGACTGCCTCCTCATTTCTTCTGTAGAGTGACTTGTGATTCACCGTCCAGTGCTTATTATACAGAGCCACACCACTCCTCCCCTACAGAATTATAATGTCACGTACACTATATTTCATTATTTTACTTAGTTTCCCCTTTTAAGTTCAGTAGGGTTTAGAAAAGCCAGCTAACCAAAATAAATGGGATGATCTTGGTTTGTGTAGTTAAACTTAAATTCTAAGTGGTGGTGGTGGTTATGTGGCGGGGAGATGGTTCTGACTCATAGTGACCCTGTATAGGATTTCTGAGGCTGTAAATCTTTATAGGAGCAGAAAGCCTCATCTTTCTTCTGTGGAACTGCTGGTAGTTTCAAACTGCTGACCATGAGATTGCAGACCGACTCATAACCACTGTGCTATCAGAGCTCCTTCCATTCTAGGTAGTAGGTGGGCAATATTACTTGAGCCTTTACTGAGATACACATACACCCACACACATACACACACATACCTATATTGTATGTATTTTATGTCCTCAGTTTTCATTGAGGAGCTATAGGATAAAAGTTAAAATAAAGCCACTATTGTATTCTGCATAGGAATCTGTTTTGCTACTCAGTGAATTTTCTACAAAATCTCAAGGTCAACTTTCAAACTGTGGAAAGATTGTTGTTTTTTTTCACAAGGAAGTGATACATTTGTTTTTTTATAATGTCCTCTCATTTTGTCAGTCATTCGTTATATTTAGAGAGTGTCTTTTTGCCAGTATTCAGATTTCACTTTTTTGCTAAATATGGATTTACTTTCAGTGTTTCGCTTTCTTCTATAAAGCAGATGACTACATGAGTCATTTACCGGTAATTTTCTCCCTTCTACAAATTTTCTCTGCAATTTAAGCAAAATAAATAATATGTGACTAATCTCTCTGGCTTGTACTTTATCTCTTAATTTTTAAGACACAGTTAAACACATGTGCGCTTTTCAGAGAAGCTGACGATAAAAGACATGTATGGTTTTTCTCATCTTCTCTCTATTACTTACATGCAATCTTTTGATAATATTTTGATAAACTTATCCAGTCTTGTGACTTTTAACTACAGTTATGTTTAAACCCCCAGATTTATATCTTCTGACCAATTCTCCTTCCAAGTTCTAGATTAATAAACCCCACTGCCTAGCATAGATACCTAATGTTGTTGTTAAGTGCCGTCAAAATCAGTTCAGACCCATAGTGACCCTGTATAGGGTTTCCGAGGAGCAGCTGGATAACTTGAACCGCCAACCTTGCTATTTAAGCCGACTTTGAAGTCCAGCACATAAACCCACAGCACCACTCCAGGACTCCAAACACCTAATTGTTGCTGATCTTGTTAAGTGCCGTCAAGTCTGGTTCTGAACCACAGCGACCCTGTATAGGATTTCTGAGTAGCAGCTGGTGAGTGAGCTTCAACTGCTGACCTTGCAGTTCAAATGGCTTTGCAGTCTCATGCGTTAACCCACAGCACCACACCAGAACTCCTAATAGGTGTCGTATATTTAAAACGTCCCAAAACTGACATCTGCCCTTGTCCCTGTCCCTGACTCTTTGTATTATTACTCCAGTTAGGAGTCTTACTGTTATACTTCAGTAAGACTCCTTTAGTTTTGAAGAAACTTACACTACCTTTTCCCCAAGCCCTTATTTTCAAAAATGATAACCTCTGTAACTTCATTTTTAACTTCTTATGTTTTGTAAGGCCTTTTGAGAATATGATAAATATGATGGCTCTTTTCCCCATAAAAATGTACTGATAAGACAACCCTACAGTTTTCTATAGGAGTGTTCATATACTCACTGATGCCTGTAAACAAGAATCCCTGTGAGTTACCGAGAATGTATAAACAATTGTCTTGCTCATACAATGTTACAGTTTCTTTAAAAATGTTTAATATTATTTAATTTTTTTTCTGATGGCTGCTTTAGAATTAGATTTAAAATACTTCATCCCAGCGTTAAAATGAAAGATTTTGTCTAGAACTTTAATTTTTATAAATGAACATTTGTTAACATTTCCAGATTTTGTATTTTATAACATCCCAACTTTGATCATATTTGAATATGTTTTATTTAAAAAAACAACAATAATGTATCATGTTTAAGGTATAAAACGATACTTAGCAAATTATGTTCCCATAAAGCAATTTGTACACAAGTTATTCAGTGATATTGCTAACATTTTTCACAGTATTGTGACATCTGTCTTACTCATTCCATTCTAGTTGTGTAATTTCCCTGGCCCCTTACTCTCTCCTAGCTTTACAGTAATTTTTGACCTAGCAGTTCATACCCACCAGTCACTCCTTGGAAACCCTATACAGGCTCACAGTGAGTTAGAAGAACGTTGACACTTAACAACAACAATGTCAACAAAGTCTCATATAGATGATTTTTAAAAGGAGCTCATTACTCATAGCGAGTAAAGTTTTGCTAAAGGTAATACAGAAACGGCTACAATCATACATTGACAGAGAA